TGTTAAAAATTCAGTATAATATACATCTAATCATATTTTACAACTGTAGCACTGAGTTCAAAATGTAAACAAAGCGTTTGTTTACATTACGGACTTTACATCACCTTTAATGTAAAAAGGAGATATTTCATTTTTGGTCGTTTAAAAAGATGATATTTGACAGTAGATACTTCTACTCTTTCACATATTTGACGCCTGTCACCATATATTTTGTCCCTCCAAACGATCCCAGAATTTCCAGAATGCACTGTGATCTCTTTTGAGAAAAGGCTAATTTCCTTTGTTTTTCCAGGTCTGCTGACCCCCGTACAAACCCCCACCGCCCTAACCTCGACCTCATCCCTCACAACTGAGCAACAGCGACCCAACAAACTTCAGATACGCGCCCCGCCTCTTGAAACAACCCTAACCCCGGAGACCTCGCCCCTTGGGGTCCTCTCGCCGGCCGCTACAAACGCTGCCGTTAGTTTGGTTATGAATAGCGTAAAACGACCATTTGGTATGGGAAACCTGCCGGGAATTTCCGAAGAAGAGCCAATGGTGAAACGATACAAGGAGAACGCCGCCGAGAATGGCATCCTGAAGGATGAGATTAACGGACAGCCAAAGGACACTAGTTCATCGTCGTAAGGATAGCCTTTAAAAGACATTGGCGACAAAATTGTTGAAAGAACTCGTAAAATATGAAAGTAATTTATTAAAAAAAAAAATTCCGCTTTTCTCGGCATTTAGGGTTAAAAACTCACATTAACGCAATTCCGATGTATTCATTTGCGACTGACCGTGATGGATATAGATAACATGTCTTGGACGAATTGAATGAATCGGGCGAAAATTATGATATACTATGATGATGGTCATAAAAAATATCTAAATATCTCTAGAACAAAACAAATTAAGAAAGTTTGCCACGGTTTCAAATTTACGAGTTCTTTCTGAAAAGTAAATTAAATTAAGGAAATTAAAACGAATTAATTTAATTGAGGAAATTTAAATTTTGCCGGCAATGTCCTTTAAAGAAATCTTGAAAGTTTTTAACCAATTGGTGAGGACGTGTTTTTCCTCGCCGTCCAAAGTCCGTTACTGTCGTTAACAAGACCTTTTAAAGAAGAATTATTGACAGTTGACAGCGACGAAGCAAGTGAAGAAACGTGTTGTTGAGTCGAATTATGGCTGTGTTGCAGTGCGCAGAAACGATGCTTTTATAAACTCTTGAAGAGATCGAGTGCAGAGTAGTAATCTGGTCGTGGGAAGTGAATGTTTTCAGCACTTGCTCGCGTTCATCGCCAACTCTCTCGACAACTCTGAGCTGGTACAAATTTTGACGAGAATTTCCGCCAACATTCATCAACTCTTGTTTCTCATCTGATCAGAGCATGGGAGTTTCGAAAATTCTCATGCGAACTTGTCGCTTGCCAAATCATGCCTGATATTTTACGTCAAATGTCGTATTAAGTAATATAGAGTAGACTAATTCTGCATCTGTTCGCCGAGTGCATTCCCATAACGCGCGTAAAAATCTCACATCTTGTAACAAGTCTGCCAACAAGCCGTCAACAAGTTGTGTTCGCACTGCTTGTCCCAAGTTGTCAACGAATATGGAACAACTTGTAACAACCTTGTTGATATTATCAGACTTGTTGCAACGTTGTTCCAACAAGTCTGATAGAGTCATGACATAACAATATTGTACAACATTGTGTCGTCAACCTTGTAACATTCTTGTTATACCATGACTGTATCAGACTTGTTAGAACAACCTTGTATAACACCATCAAGCTTGTTACAAGTTGTTAGCAGCTTGTTCCAAACTTGTTACAACAACTGGGAACAAGCAGTGCGAACACAACTTGTCGACAGCTTGTGGACAGATTTGCAAGACTTGTTTGCAGACCTGTAACAACTGGTTTGTTTATACGTGTGTCTCGAGTCAGAGTTTTTAAATTTATCAAAACTTTAACAAGCTTGGAACAAGCATTGATAACAACACAACCTAATGTTGGCTTATTACAACAACATTTTAGCAAGGCTACTTAAAAATCTATTACAAATTGTCCGTTTTTACAGAGTAACAAAATTATTCCGCAGGTATCCAACCCCCCGTACTTGAAGGATACCGTGTCGAATGTATTTAGTAATTTATTTTAAGAAACTATTATGAAATATATACTAGGGTATCGTTTAGATCATAGTATTTCCTATGTAAGTTTTAAGCTTGTAAAGCTTTTATTGTTGTCGCGAACGATGGAAAATAAAGCAAATCTATTGATCGAAAAACAACTAGTTTGTTTATTTAAACAATATAATGAAAAAGGAAGCTTTCAATTTCTTTTTAAACAAGCGAGTCTATGTTCATCAATTCACGAGGAAGAGAATTGATAAACTTTGGACCGTGGTAGCGAACTAAAAATTATAACAGACTAATATTTTTTATACACCAAGCATACGGTGATTCGAAGAATTTCTTGTGTTGAACGTATGAAATACTTTGGAAAATATATTTCCACATCTTTCTTGCTATGTTTAGTCAGATTATGTTTATGACTAAACATAAGGGCTATTGAGTAGTGTGTGCGTCAAATTTACTTTTATTTAAGATTATAATGAACTGCTACTATTTTAAGGACCGAAGAGTTTCAAATTATTACTGCTTTTGTGACTTATCGTAAAGCTGTCATTACAATGCATTCTACAGACATTTAACCATTACATGATGATCATAGTTTTGGTCTCATAAAATCTCGGTAATGCGCTACTCAACTTAAACAATCCGTAACGTGAGTCCAGTTTCCGGCTTATAGTAATATTAGTCCGTATCTTCCAGTCTTTACTATTAACGATCTGTTCTTTGACGACCAGAAAGTCATTTGCCGCATGAATGCAACGTGCCGTGAAATCGGACGGCGTGCGCGCGACAAAGAATTGTAACTGTTTAGCATTAAGTGCGAGCGTTATAAGTTCCCGCTCTTTTTCTTCGTCGACTATCGCCCGTCGTCTTTGAGTCAAGCGGCTTCCTTTGATGATTGGTAAAAGACGCGTCAGTCGTGGACTAGTGTCTACATTAGCACGGGTGTCGAATGCGACTTTCTGGCGGCGTCCCATTGGCTTTCCTCCGTAAAACGTAAGAACAACTTTAAAAGCGCCGTATTTTGTCTAAATGAAAGAAAAATGATCTATGTGTCATCTTATGTGTCATCTTTTTAAATTAATTAGATCGCCTTTTGTTGCCAACTTCGGAAAAATGGCTTAGGAAACAATGAGTCCTGGTTTGCCCACCTTCGGGAAACATGGCTAGGAAACAATGTTTCCTGGTTTGCCCACCTTCGGGAAACATGGCTAGGAAACAATGTTTCCTGGTTTGCCCACCTTCGGGAAACATGGCTAGGAAACAATGTTTCCTGGTTTGTCCACCTTC